ATTGTAGCTCAGTAATTCTATTGATATGTGAATCAGCCACTAACAATAAACCCTTCAACCACCTTATCTGTCAAGGATGCAAATAAGAGTAATTGTTGAATAATATTCTCAGAATTTCACTTTACTTCCAGCTTTGCCAAGTGGATATAAAATAGCCTGCTATTTTCATAATCATTTTAGGAAAAAAAACAACAACGATGTGCTGAGGATTTAAGTCCCAGATTAAAAAAAATGAGGAGCTGCTATAATCTCCAACAAAGTGGCATTTCAGCCTAAATGACAGCAGAAGTGGAAGATGCCTTGCATACAGATTATTTGTAACGTGCTGGAGCTGGGATGCACCAACTAGAACAGGAGCAGGACAAGAGTTTTGCTCACATGCATGAGATTTAGGGTCAATGAAATTATTGATCTTTTACCTTTGTGGACATAATATGGAGCTCACAGAAAGGGCAAAGCCAGTCAGGGTGGGATTTGAATGAAGGAATTTTTGGCTGCTTCTGCCTGGCCAGTGCCACTCCTGCTCAGGGAGGAGGAGTGGAAGAAGAAGGTGGAAGAGAAACCACCAGAGACAGCAGCAATTAGATTTGCTCCAGAAAATCATTAACAACTGCTGAGCTAAGGCAAATCTTTTAGGAAAATTAATCCTGTTGATTTGAACATAGCTCTCCCCAGCCTCAGCAAACTGATCCACAGCAGGTTATTCTGATTTCAAACACCCCTGAAAACCAGAGAGAAAGTGAAATCCAACAGGTCCAGGCTCCCCGAGGGATAGACCCAGCAGGGCTGGAGCTGGTTTCCTTGAGACAGAAATGTTATTCCTTCAAAAACTTCATTTCTCTTACCCAAGGATATGCTTTCTCCTGGGTAGTTTAGAATATTACTGAAGTGGTAGGAGATTGCTGGGGCCCAGGCACACCAAAGCTCCTCTGAGGCACTTTGGGGGCATGGCTTTGCTCTCTGCTCCCCTGGGATTGCTTCTGTGTGCATCCACTGCTCCAAACAGTGCTGCAAATGTGAAGTGCTCCAGAAGATGCACAGACAACACCTTATTTGAGCAGTGCTTAAATTTCACCCTATACATCACTAAAAAAAAAAAATTTTAGATGTATTCTTATGAAAAAAACCATTTTGTCCACAAAATTAGTAGTGGAATTCTGTATAACTCTTCAGTCTACACACACTATTGATGACACTTTAAACTCCCGAATTAATTGGCTTTCAGTGTCAGTTTTTATTTGTATAATAATATCACAACTGATACAAAAATCCAAGAAGTAGAAAACAGCTACATGTGTTTGAAGTTGTATGTGAAAGCCTCAGATATTTAGCAACTTCTTTGATGCTTTGATCTCCAAAGAAATCTTACTAAAATTATGATCAAAGCATTTTATATTATTCTAAGTACTTAAGAACAAACCATCTTAGGGCAATAATCAGTATTCTGTTTAATCCTTCACCCTTGGAATCCATTATTGCTAAGCACCTCGATCTGATGGGAGTTACATTTACTTAACAAAGATATTCTGAAACTGTTACAAGTACCAAAAAGCAACACTTCCAATTTAGAGACAGAGCCAAGAGCTGGATTTTATTCTGCTGGCTAAAAAGTGCTTTTTGATACTGCTTTTAAAATGTATGTAACTTAAGAAAATTGGTATGCAGCTCGGACCAGGCAGATTTTTATTTTTCTACAGCAGACAAAGAAACAGAATTTCCAATACACAACTACTTTTGATTTAATCTATTTCTAACTATTTCCTATTGTCAGTGTTTATAGAGCACTATTACACAGATGGATATATCTAATATTTATAGAGTAAATTAACACTCTACTTTATAACGTGCAAAGACAGATAAATAATGAATTATGCTTTTCATCAATCTGACCACATAATGCCTATTTCAGTGTAATATTAAGTACTGCATCAGACTGGTTGCTGTAATCCCCCATGGTGAGTTAAACAGTGTGATACAAAGCATCCCTAATCTGCAGCCTTCAGAACAGGAGAATATTAAAGACCAGAAAGATTTAACAAAAAACACTAATTGCATATTAGATTATGGATTATAGATTAGGTTGATGAGAGGTAAGGAGGCATTGTACTTTTTCAGCAGCAAGTAGAGGAATTCCTGTCTCCCAGTCATATCCACAGCCTTAAGAACCTCCCAGATCCTGCCTCAGCAGCTCCTCCTCAGATTTACCTGTGCAGATGATTGCTCACCCTGCACACCCACCCACCAGGGCTGGTCTCCCACTGATTCTAGACCCACGTGCATTGCTCTTCCATGGTGGGAGATGTGGAGCAGGGTGCTGTGAGCGTTCCTGCAGGCTCTAAATGAAAACCAACCTCTGCTACAGCTGCTGGCTGCAGCTCTGCAACCACAGAGCAGCAGCACAGGCAGCCACGCTCAGCTCTGCAGGGTGGCACCAGCAGTGCCACTGACAACTGCTCAGAGAGTCAGATAAACCTGCCCAGGCATTGCTCTGGGAAGTTTGGGGAAAGTCACATTTTTGTATCACCAAAGAAATAAGTGGTGAGATGTGATTTTTCAAGTCTCAGTCAGGAAGAGTTTGTCCTTCCCAGTTTGTCTCAGAAAGGTGTTGCTGCTTTAGCCCTTGCTGATCATAGTGGAATTATTCAACCAGTACCACCAAAAATGATGAAAAAAATGCATGGCAGATGACAAAATATTTCTGCTTAGATACTGCTGTCTTGATGTATAGTGTGTAATTATTTTTTTTAATGTCACCACAAAATTAGAAACATCTCAGCAAATATATATTAAAATTTCTGAACAGTGAATTTGATTCTTGTTTATTCTTCTTTATTCTTCTTATTCTGCCATACATATATGGCAACTCTTAAGGTTGTATGACAAATTATTTCATGAAAAGCAGGTATTTTTGAAAAGTCCAGGGGGAAGTTTTGGGAAAGTCCAGATGTTTACAAGAGGGTGGTGTGTCTCATTAGCCACTGGTGCGAGGGATATTAACTGAGGACCAACCAGGTCCACCTGTATCATAGCTGTCTATAAAAGTGTGTGTTTTTTAATAAACTAATCTTTTTTTTTACCACAAAGAAATGGAGTCCCACATCATTTATTCCAATGCCACTGCATCTGTGGGACCCACACAGATGGCAGAGGCAGGCACAGCTTAATCACAGATCTGACAACCTGAAGGTTACCTGTGCTTCTAGAGAGAAGAAGGAAATGTTTTTCTAGGGGCAAGGTGAATTCATCTTGGAGCACCCTCTGTCCTGACTTCAGCATTTACAGTGTGGTTGTCACACCCTCACTGGCTCATTTTGGGCTTGATCTGTTGGCATCTATGCCACTGAGTGTGGGAAATGGATTTGGAAAGAATTTTCAAAGCTTGACAGAAGGTTCACATAGTATCTGCCTGTATGCAAACTTTGAGATAAGAAATGCTGACTTAGAAATGCCATGGAATAGGACAGACATGGTTGAGAGAGAAATGGAACTAGAAACAAATTTCAGGGGATGGCCTTGCAAATAAGAATAAATACTCTGGAGAAACAGAACTATGAAAGATGTATTGTAGTAGGACCCACAAGGGGTAGTTTTAGATTAACTTTAAGGCATTTACAGCATGGTGTGGCTAAAGCTGATAGGCCAAGAAACATTTATAATGTATTGTAATTAGGAAATAGTTGATTTCTGATTGTGATAATGTGAATTATAACATCTGTATTGTCTCACCCTTCTCATGAGATGGAAAATGGAATAAAAGCTTTTAAATCTCCTCTCAGTTGCCCCATGTCTGGGTCAGGAAAGAGCTCAGTCTGACGCTGAGGAGCAGGGAGCTGCACAAGCAGAGGACAGTCCCCCAGCCCAGCAATGTCCCAGCAGGAGCAGCCCAGGCTCCAAGGGACTGTGGGAGCAGGAGCTCCCCTGCTCCTGGGGCTCCAGGGCAGCTCAGGAGCAGCCAGGGAGCCACTTCCAGGGAATTGTGCCTGGCTGGAGCTCACAGCCCAGCTGGGACAATGGGATCTTCAGCTGCCTTTAGCACAAACCTGTCCAAGACCACCCTAGGTCAGGGGTGGCTTTGTGTGGTGAAAAAACTTCTCCTCCCACCCGAGCTTCCAAAGAAAGGCTCAGCAGTCTCTGTTGTTCAATCTCAAGGCAGTTTATTGCAAGTTATCTAAAAGATTTTCTTCTCTGCTGCTGTGGTTTGCTCACAGCTCAGGCAGAGGCACACACACACCCTGACATCCTCTCTGACCCCGACTGCTTCTTCTCTCCCACCCAGGGCTGCTGCTCTCTTTTATATGGTACATTACATGATAAATGTTTATAGTTTTTCCCCAATGCCTATTGCCTATATTAAATGGTGATTTTCTATCTTTTATATGGTACATTACGTGTTACATGTTTACAGTTTTCCCCAATGCCTATTACCTATATTAAATGGTGCTTTTCTATCTTTTATATGGTACATTACATGTTACATGTTTACAGTTTTCCCCAATGCCTATTACCTATATTAAATGGTGCTTTTCTACTCTAAACCAATTTGTGAGTGCCAACATCACCAAGAACATGGAGGTGAGGAAGGAGAAAGAGGGAGGACAGGGCAGGCCCAAATCCCAAATCCATCTTAAACCCTCTGACCCCCATGTACAAAACCAAAACCCCCCTGTACAGCACTCACAAATTCTTCCTTCTACTTTGTGCCTACTTCTACTATAATATCTAAACTTTTGTGACTTCTTGTTCTTTCTGCAAGGTTGGTAACTCATTCCATGGTTCAAACCCAAAATCACAGCTGTTTCCAGCTGCGTGCCAGGGTCTCAAATGCTTCTGACCTGGGCTTGGAACATCCAAAAATGTCTGAGGGACATTTTGAGTTCCAACACAAACCCACACCACAGCCACCTCAGACCTACAGTCCTGGAAGGTGGAATATGATGAGCAGTACCACCTGAAGATTTCAGCTCCACAATAAAATGGGTTTATCTTAGAAAATTACTTACTTGATTAAAGTGCTGAAGTTTATCAATTAAATTGTTGATGAGTGGGTCCAATCCTCTGACTTTCAGTTCTGGATTATTAATTTGTGCCTTCAGTCCATTGGAAACAACTCTGCTGGTATAACTGAAAAACAGAAAAAATAACACATCAGTGAGTGGAACCATATCCATCAGAATTAAGAAACCTATTACAGGGGATTTACAACAAGAAAATGTTTTGTAAAAGGGAATAAAATTTATTATAAATATTTATGTTATAAAATACACCAGCCAGATTATCATTATCACCAGCAGTATAATTTACTACTTTATTCAAGTCATGAACCAACAGCAATTTCATAAACCACAGAGAGGTTTGTTTCATTCATAATTTAATATTTGAGCCTTTGTAACTAACATTCTCAAGTTCTTCCATGCAGCATTCAAAGCTGATAGCTTCCAAAAATTCACTCTTTTGTTATTGCACTTAAGACAGAAGTTATGTTTTATGAGATTGAAGCAAATTCCAACGAAAGGGGTGCAGTATTCACAGTCTCTGAACAGAGAGACATGATTCTCTCTCCCAGGATTTTTCCTGGGAAGTTGTGAGGTGCAGTGAGGAAGCTCAGAGAAAGAAGAAAACAATTCTTATCTCTATTCACTGCTCCTGTTTGGCACACATGGAGCATGTTATGGAGATTGTTTACCAAAGAGGGATTTGTTAATTGGACACTGGTGATGGGTGTTTGGATTGATTGGCCAACTCAGTCAAAGCTGTGTCTGACTGTCTGGAGACAGCCACGGGTTTTCTTTAGTATCTTTTTAGTATAATATAGTTCTAATATAGTATAAGATGATATAATAAAACAATCAACCTTCTACAACATAGAGTCAAAGCAAATTATTCCCCTTTCAAGGGTCACTCAGGAGAGCAGGGCTTGCTCAGAGGGAGTTGCTGTGTGGATCTTGCCTGGGGAGGGTCTAACACCAGTGAGGCTCCTGGGGAGCTCTGGAGAGCAGCAGCTGCTGCTCTGCAGTGTCCTCAAAGGGTCTGTCCCCAATGTCCCCAGCTCGTCTGGCAAGAGGACTCAAATTCACACTTAGATTATGAATATTTTTCAAATCACACTCCCCTTTTATTGAAGTAGTGACCCTAGAAATACAGGGACATGTCACAGCTTCCTGAGATCATCTAGTTATAAAACAGGAGAAATGTAATTTAATGGGTCAGCTCCTGGCCTCCACCAGTCTGTTTGGGGATTCCCTGTGTGTGCTGCTTTGTCTCAGCAGAAACTCATCCCCAGCAGCAAAATGCAAGGTTTTCCTTTTCACTGCTCTTGACTGCTCTCCATTCAATCCCTGGTTAGAGCTGTTGGAACTTCTCTGGAGGCTTACATCACTATAATCCAGGATAACCTCTGGGTTGGCTGGGATGTTTTTTGGCAAATGACATTGTTTTTTTCCCCATGAATCACCAGCTTCCATTAACTGCCCCTAAGTGCTATTACAAACCTACAGCAGTGTATGGAGTTTGCACAAACATGGCCAGAGACAGCAGCAGCACCAATGCCAGAGCCCTCAAAGGGACCCAGAATGGGCAAAGCCAGGCTCAGCCAGCTCATTCTTCCTGCTGCTGCTAAATCCTCCCTTCCACACACAGCATTCCCAGGAAACCAGGGCCACTTGGAGGGAGGGAGCTCACAGCCCACGGAGACAAAAGGGCTCTCCTACCCTTCAAGTTCCACCCATGATTAAGGACTCTCTCTTTAAAGCTCTGGAGATATGCATGCATTATGCACAGATATTGCTGTTCCCAGTTAATTGCATCACATAGCTTAACTAAATTCCACGTGTCAGAGACCACACGGAATCTGTGTGAATCCTGCTTCGGCTCCTTCACCTCCCTGCTGCCACCAGCAGCACATCAGAAGTGGCCCAGCTCTGGTCTGGAATGTGAGTTGCCTGACTGGAAAAGCCCAGAAAACCAACTGGAGTGGTGAAACAGATGGGATCTGCCCCGTGAATGGGTTAAAATGCTGGTGGAAAAGGAGGCAAAAGACTTGCAGAGCACAAAGGCAGCTCTTGGGTTTTCCCATAATAATCTGTTTCAGCCTTTGTTGATCATAGTGGAATTGTTCAAGCAGTACCAACAAAAACAATGAAAAAAATGCATGGCAGATGACAAAATATTTCTGCTTAGAAGCTGCTGTCTTGATGATGTATAGTGTGTAATTCATTTTATAAAAATGTGATTACAAGCTGTGCTGTCCTGTGCGCTCTCCCTGGGAGATCCCTGCTGGAACAACCCAGAGCAATCAGGAGATGGGGATTTCAGAGAAAAGCCCTTGAGGAGGAGGAGGCAGGGCAGGGAACTGCAGGAGAATTGCACACCCAGCAAGAATGGAACAATGCCCCCAGCCCATCCCAGCCAAGGGCCAAAGGCTGCACTAGAAGCAGACCTTTTGTCCATCTGACCCAAAGCACCACCCTGCAAACTGCAGAGCCTTCTACTACCTCTGTACCACGTTAAAATGCTTTGAAATAAACACTATACATTTCCTGAAAGATAATCTCATTACTTTACTTCTTTGCACTATCTAAACCATTTTTTTTTTTGGTTGACATCAGATCCTGAATTACTGGAAATGTACATTAAGTAAGATCAGGAATTGGCTTGCTTTATTTAATAACCTGCAATTTAACTGAAATATTGTACTACAGAATTGTTAACTCTGGTTACAGTTCTTGTATTTCATTCCAACTAAACCCAGAAATGTCAGCAGGAATGTCCAGGAAAGCTGTATTAAAATATTGCCACTGGAGCAATCCTGAAAGTAACTTAAACTGGAGCCCAGTGAACAGCTTGTGCAGACAGAATTTTCATCCAGACCTCAAGCCTCGGGCCAATGTTATTCCATTGATTGATCAGGCTAAGCTATGATACTTTAAAATAACAAAAGCAAATGATAAAAAAATCCCCCAGCCTCCCAAACCCAGTTTTTCTTAGATCTTAGGTAAGGTTCATCTCAAGTTTAAAAAAAGATAAAAAGTGAAATGCTGTTTACACATGGGACTGCATTTCAACTGAAGGCATATGTTTTTATCTCACCAATAAATAAAGATAAATTAAGATATCTGCGTAAAAAACCCTGCTTTAAAAAGCCAGATGCTGTTCTGAAATGTATCTCTATAAATTCTTAATACGAAAATGAAGAAAGCTACAAAGTTTTCTCAAAGTCAAATATGCCTTAAAAAAAAACAAACAAAAAAAGGCAAGCAGAAAAAATAGAAATAACTTCAAATTCCAGGGAGATGACTGCAGAAGCTGTATTAGGGACAAATATATATATATATATATATAATATTATACATATTCTATATATATAAATGTATATTTGATATATTTGATATATTGATATATTTGATATATAACTGTATATATAATATATATTTTATATGATATATCTATAATATATACACACATTTATATAAATATAAATATAAATATAAATATAAATATAAATATAAATATAAATATAAATATAAATAACCAGCAGTGATATTTAGGTACAAAAGCCCAAGCAAAAGGGTGCTGTTCTTGCTGTTTTTACACTACTTCCCTGCCCCTGCTCTGCAGCAGAGCCCAGCAGCCATGGTGCTGTGGGCAACCTTTCCAAGTATCATCCAGGGATTATGGAGCAAGACCCCAGCACATTCCACACAGCTGGGAACAGGCACTGAGCATTCCAGGATTCTCTGTGCTGGAAATTCAGGATACCTGGAACATGAACTTCATCTCAAGGCAGTTCCCTTCATTTTAATTTTCTGTTCTCTGCTTGAGTGTTTGACCCAACAGAGCTGAACAAGAGGCATCAAAATTTTATTTAATTATGGGATAAATGGAACATCAAACATCATATGGCAAAGCTGAGAATCTCAGCCTTATAGTCAGTTCACAGGAATCCCGGAACGGCAGCTAACATCTCTATGGGACAAAAACTGCTTTTGATGAAATAATTTGTCATACAGCCTTAAGAGTTGCCATATGTGTATGGCAAAATAAGAAGAATAAAGAAGAATAAAGAAGAATAAAATTCATTGTTCAGAAATTTTAATATATATTTGCTGAGATGTTTCTAATTTTGTGATGACATTTAAAAAAAATAATTACATGCTATACATCAAGACAGCAGTATCTAAGCAGAAATATTTTGTCATCTGCCATGCATTTTTTTCATCATTTTTAATGGTACTGGTTGAGTAATTCCACTATGATCAGCAAGGGCTAAAGCAGCAACACTTTTCTGAGACAAACTGGGAAGGACAAACTCTTCCAGACTGAGACTTGAAAAATCACATCTCACCACTTGTTTCTTTGGTGTTACAAAAATGTGACTGTCCTATTTTCTGTACAAATGTAAAAGCATTCAGTAAGAGAAGAACACACTGGAAATCTGCAAACTGGAGCACCTAAAAGAAACTACCTGCTTTCTCAGCCTTCTCAAACTCAACCTGCTAAAGCCAGCGAGCTCCAGAGTCAATTTTCTAATTTTCTTTTTCATTTTCTAGCAAAATCATGAAGTGTTGAGACAGAGACTTTACAGCACTCATTTCACATCCAGCTCTGCTTCTTTCATCTGGGAGAGACCCGTGTTGCCTGCACACCCCCAGAAGCAGAGGGCACTGTGAGCCAGAACCAGAGGGAACTGAAATGATGCATTGCCAGAACTCAAAATGTCCCTCAGACATTTTTGGAGGTTCCGGGCTCAGGTCAGAAGCATTTGAGACCCTGGCAGGCAGCTGGAAACAGCTGTGATTTTGTGTTTGAACCATGGAATGATTTACCAACCTTGCAGAAAGAACAAGAAATCACAAATTTTAGATATTATAGTAGAAGTAGTTACAAAGGAAAGGGAAGAATCTTTGAGTGCTGTACAGGGGGGGGTTGGCTTTGTACTTGGGGGTCAGAGGGTTTAAGATGGAGGGATCTGGGCCTGCCCTGTCCATCCTCTTTCTTCTTCCTTACCTCCATGTTCTTGGTGATGTTGGCACTCACAGATTGGTTTAGAGTAGAAAAGCACCATTTAATACAGGTAATAGGCATTGGGGAAAACTGTAAACATGTAACATGTAATGTACCATATA